ACCCTTAAAAGGGATATGAAATAATTAAGAGCTTTTATAATAGCTCAACCTCACAAAGGGTGTGTTGACTTTCTTCAAGTTCATTATAAATGAACCACCCAAACTCTGGGCTAAGAAGTCATTAAGAATAAATATTCAACCTCATTTATCGGTAAATTCAATAAGTCCTTCTCACTAGAACCATCCAAATACTTGGGTTTGAATTTATTAAGAGTTTAACAAACTCAACCTTTCTGTCGGTAAGTTCATCATTTCCTACCCACTCACTCTGGGTTATGAACTTATTAAGAATAGATATTCAACCAAAATCGGTAAATTCATCAAGTCTTTCTCACTAAGACCACCCAAAGTCTGGGCTATGAATTTATTAAGAGCACTTAAGCTCATCCTGGGCATGCACATTATTCGTCACAGGGATAGGCAGTAGGAATGTGCACTATGAGTCTTTCCATGGTTTCGTTTGACCACATGGAACTTAGATAACTAAGTTGGGTATCCACCATGAATTCCTCAACCAATGGGCTAAGACCCATCCCCCTCGACGAATCTAGGACCAACTTCCGACTTAACCCTTTGGTAAGTGGATCTGCTAGGTTCCTTTCCGACTTCACATACTCTAAAGAGAACACTCCATTCTTTATTAAGTGTCTAACATATTCATGTCTTATACGAATGTGTCTTTTCTTACCATTGTAAGCTTGGTTCTTAGCCACACATATCGCAGCTTGTGAATCACACAATAATGAAACCGGAGGAGTCGGTCTTCCCCACAACGGAATATCTGCTAACAAGCTTCTGAGCCACTCGGCTTCTTTCCCAGCTAGGTCAAGAGCTATAAACTTTGACTCCATGGTAGAACGAGCAATACAAGTCTGCTTTGATAATTTCCATGAGATTGCTGCTCCACCCAAAGTAAAAACATACCCGCTCGTAGAGCTTACCTCATCATTATCAGAAACCCAGTTGGCATCACAATATCCTTCTAGTACCGCAGGAAAGCCAACGAACTCAAGTTTCCAATCCAAAGTACCCTTAAGATACTTCAGTAAGCGTTTAAGAGCAATCTAGTGTTCACCACTCGGATTATGAGTATATCTACTCAGTCTACTCACAGCATAAGCAATATCAGGCCGAGTATAGTTCATTAATAACATTAAGCTTCCGATTAATTTAGCATATTCAGTTTGGGAAACGCTACTTCCTTTATTCTTAACAAGATGTATGCTAGGGTCATAAGAAGTTCGAACAGGGACGACATCAAAACTGTCAAATTTCTTTAGCACTTTCTCTATATAATGTGCTTGACTTAAAGAAAATCCCTTTTCAGTTTTGGTAACTCTGACTCCTAAGATTACATCAACTTCTCCCAAATCTGTCATCTCAAACTTAGTGGACAAGAAACTCTTAACTTTGTTAATGGACTCGATGTTAGAACTGAAAATCAACATGTCATAAACACACAGGTTTATAATGACACATTCAGTGTCAAACATCTTCGAATACACACAAGCATCCGAACCATTCACAACAAAACCAAAACTAAGAATAGTTTTATGGAATTTCTCATACCACTGTTTAGGAGCATGCTTAAGTCCATAAAGTGACTTTTTAAGTCTACAGACTTTCCCTTCTATACCAGGTGCTTCAAAACCTAGTGGCTGCTCCATGTAAATCTCCTTATCTAGATCCCCATTCAAGAAAGCAGTCTTAGCATCCATTTGATGTACCTGTAACTTATGAATAGAGGCTAGCGCAAATAATGCACGAATCGTTGAGATTTTCGTAACGGGAGAGTATGTATCAAAGTAGTCTAAACCAAACCTTTGAGTAAACCCTTTGACGACTAACCTTGCCTTGTACCGCTGAATCGAACCATCTGGCCCTAGTTTCTTCCAGAAGACCCATTTGTTGGAGATTGGTTTGAATCCCTTAGGCAAGTCAACTAATTCCCAAGTATGATTAGACAGTATCGATTCTAGTTCATCATTAACAGTGCTTTTCCAAAAACTAGCATCGATAGATCTTATAACTTCTTCAAAAGTTTTAGGATCCTCATCTAACAGAAAAATTTGAGTTATAGGATCTGAAATGGAGTCTAAATCATTTATCTCAGAAATAAATGAAGTAATAAAGTCTGGTCTACAAGAGGTTTCAACTCTTTGCCTTTTACTTCTTCTAGGCTCAAAATCAATTTGTTTAGAAGACCTAGCAGGATTACTAAAAGAAGTTGATGGAATATATTCTATTTGTGTTTCGACATTTAATCTCGGTTCCTTTAAAGGAAAGGTATTTTCAAAGAAAACAGCATCTATTGACTCACAAATAGAATAATCTTGTAAAAGCATGAATCTGTATGCAACACTATTCGTAGCATACCCTATAAACACTGCATCAACGATTTTAGGTCCAATGGTGGACTTCTTAAAGTCTGTCAAACCCACTTTAGCTAGACACCCCCACACTTTCAGATATTGTAAATTAGGAGCGTATCCTTTCCATAATTTATATGGGGTAGAATCTAATTTCTTATGAGGAACGCGGTTCAAGATATGAGTTGACGATAGAATGACTTCCCCCAACATGTTATTAGATAACCCTGAACTTATTAGTAAAGAATTCATCATCTCTTTTAAAGTTCTATTTTTCCTTTTGGCTATACCATTCTGTTGAGGAAAATAGGGGCTGAAGTTTCATGAATTATGCCATTCTTTTCACAAATATCTTTTAAGAAATTAGATCCATATTCACCACCTCTATCAGATCTAACCCGTTTGATTCTCCTATCTAACTGATTTTCAACTTCTGCCTTATAAATAAGAATGAAGTTTTCAGCTTCATCTTTAGTCCTTAGGAGATAAACTTTTGTATATCTTGAATAATCATCTACAAAAGTTATGTAGTAGTGTTTTCCTCCTTTACTTTCAGTGTTTCTAAAATATGATAGATCAGTATGAATAAGTTCTAACAGCTTAGTCTTTCTATTAGACACAATTTTAAAGTGAGGTCTAGTATGCTTAGCTTCTACACAAATTTCACATTTGTTAAAGGTAGTTGTGTCTAGTTTAGGCAGAACATTCATATTTATCAATTTCTTTAAAGCATGAATATTCATGTGTCCTAATCTAGTATGCCACATATCAATGGATTCAACAATATAAGCAGAAGTGGTAGCTTTATTTTCATTAAATTGAGTTTTTATGACAAATAAACCATTGCTTAAAAACACTTTCCCAACATAATCACCATTTCAGGAAAGTACAAGTTTATCTGCTTCAAAAACTAACTTAATGCCTGCCTTATTTAGAAGCCCACCACTTATCAAATTTCTACACAAGGCAGGTACATACAGAACATTATTTAAAGCCAGAGTTTTACCAAAGGTCAGCTTGAGTAAAACCTTGCCTTTACCTAGCACTTCAGAGCTGCTAGAGTTCCCCATGTACACACGTTCACCTTCGTTCCCATCCTCGAATTCGGTGAAAAACTCATTCCTTGCGCAGAAATGCTTTGAAGTGCCAGTGTCAACAACCCATTCCGAACTGTTTTCCACCAGATTGACTTCTGAGACCACTGCAACAATGATCTCATCATCTTCTTCTACAACGTGCATTTGTGGCTTGTTGTCATTCTGGAGATCTGAGCAGTGTTGGCATTGGTAAGCTTTGTGGCTGGGTAAACCGCAGACATAACACTTGAGCATCTTTCCTTCAGGTTTGGCATTTCCTGAGTTTTTGAAGTTGGTAGCCTTCTGAGGTTTCGTCTTCTTGTCTTGATTCCCACGATTCATGATCTTCTTAAATTTAGACTCAACCAGGTTAGCTCTAAAAGATAAATTACTCATAGAATTAGTAAGCGTATCTTTTATACGGTTGGCTTCTTCAATCTTCATATAGCCCACGAGCTCTTCAAGCGAAATTTCTCTTTTCTTATGCTTAAGAGAGTTGCGGTAGTCGGACCAGGACTTGGGCAGCTTCTCAATGAGAACATTGGCTTGCATCACCTCGCACATTTGCATCCCTTCGGCGATGATGTCAGCGACTAGGTTCTCATAGTCATGGACTTGATCTATTATCGGCTTGTCATCAGTCATCTGGAATTTGAGCCATTCGTCGACAACGTACTTCTTGATTCCAACATCGTCCGCACCATACTTTTATAATTCTTTCCATCAAGTGCATCGAGCTTGGAAAGATTGGGTATCAGTTTGCTCAAAGGTGTTGACATGATTGCAGTATATAGAATTCGTTTCTAAATTGTTGGATATATGAACTGCAAAACTACACCGTTAGCACTGACTGGAAATATAAACAGTAATTAAAAGGAACAGATTCATAAACTATATCGTGGTATAACCACTGCCTTAGAAATGAATTCGCCCCGATGTGTGTAATCATTGTAGTAGGCGGACCGTCCCCCGAGGTTAACACGGTCGCTCCGAATTCCGTACACCTGAAATCGGAGGGACTGCCGGTGGTATTGCTCTTCTTATCAGAAAGCACAGAAAGAATAATTGTAGAAAATACTTTGAGAGTGAATTGTGAATGTTGAGAGTGAGTTGAGAAGCTGAATATAGCCCTCTATTTATAGGCTAGAAATAGGGTTAAAATCGTCCATAAAATTTCAGGATTAAATCTCTTCTTTTGTAACAGTGTTTTTTGGACTCTCTATCATCGTGATGATGGTGATGATGACTGTAAATGGGATTTGCTTTCAACTGTTATTGTATAATTATGTGTACTACAAGAAACTTGGAGTTGCCTGCTACATAGTGCTGCTTCCTAGCTACTTGTTTCATCTTAATCAGATGTTGTTAAACTGTTCTTTAAATTTGTCAAAATCAACCTTGGGAAAGTCACATTTATCGGATATATGGTAATTTAAGTTATGTGATCGTCGTACAATGGCTTTTCCGGCTGTCTCTATATGGCTGCCATTGATTACTAGTTTCATGTGTCACTTCTTTTGATTGTTAATGACACTCATGGATTTAACTTCCAAACTTTTCTGATTACAGTCTTTACAATAACATACATCATCCGAGCAAGTTGGTTGTGGGAGCAGACTTTCATTGTTTCAAACATAAGATCGAGCCTAAGTGGGAAGACCCTGTCTGTGCTAATGGGGGCAAGTGGACCGTGACTTTCCAGAAGGGGAAATCAGATACGTCTTGGTTGTACACGGTATTGTTTTGGATGATATATTGTATACTTGTTCATGAAAATTTGATACTTAAGTTGAAGTTGTGGCTTGATATCTTATATATTTTTGCTGTACTAGTTGCTGGCTTTGATAGGGGAACAATTTGAGTATGGTGATGAGATCTGCGGAGCATTTGTCAGCGTGAGAGGCAAGCAGGAAAGAATAGCACTTTGGACCAAGGATGCTGCCAATGAAAGTGCACAGGTGAGTGAGTCACTTTGTTACGGAAAATGACTTGTGCAATTCCAAAACTGTTATCTATAGGGTTTGTTTTTAATGACTTCAGAAATTCTGAAACCTTATTTTTGTTGGTTTTTGTTGTTGATGCAGATAAGCATCGGGAAACAGTGGAAAGAGTTGCTTGATTACAACGAAACTATTGGGTTCATATTTCATGTAATGGCTTGTTCTAATTTGTTCAGATCTTTCTGTTTATGTGTCGGGTTGTGGGTTTTATAAACAAACACGATCTATTCTATCTTTCAGGAAGATGCGAAGAAGCTAGACAGAGGTGCCAAGATTCGTTACACTGTATGAGTTTTATAGAGTTCTCTAGTAGTAGACGCCGTGCACAATGCAAGATTGCTCTCAGGACTCTCTGTAAGCACCTGCGGCATTACTTGGTTGCCTCCTTTCAAGTTCTTAATTGTTGTTTGACCTATGGCTGTTGCTTCAGGGATTGTTACCTATATAAGTGAATATTAGTAGTTTTAAATTTCAGTTCGCTGACCATTTATGAAGTGCTTTTCAATGGTTACTTTCATTTTGTTACAATTTTCTTGCATTGACTGTATCACGGGGCTTTCTTTTTCACATGACCTCGAACCGTTTCTATACGGATTGATTTAGTACATTTGTTTCGACTCGAAAATGTTCCCATGCACACCTGATGATATTTACCCTTTACATTCATGCACGAATAAACATGCTAAAGTAAAATTATGAATGTGCCATAACACAATTGCTTTATTCACTCCCTTTAGTTTCATCATCACAATCATCAAGATGCTGCTGATATACATAAGGAAAGATATACCGAAAACAGCCAACACCTTCCCTTATGACTATAAGTTTCATCATCGAAAACGATAATGGTGGATGCTGTATTTTTCGACAATACCAAAGTAAAAATGCAGCTGAATTTATTGACAATCCCAAAGCGAAAATGCAGTTCGCAAATGCAGAAGACAGTTCAGACCTGGAACCGGCAAAGATCGAGACCTACAAACGAACATCAGTACGGTTCAGACCAGAGTCCTTACATAGGAAGCTCACCCCAGTTCATATGAACCCAAAAGTGACAAAATTGATGAATGTTAGAGACCATTATTATGCCAACAAAAAATACCATGACGTCAAATTCAATTGCTTCCATGTATATTGTCGTATCTTCTATATATTCAAAAAGAAAATATTTAATGGTCATTTTGTTTATTATTTTTTAAAGTAATACTTAACACAAGTTAAATTAAATAATTTAAAAATATTTATTGATGGAGTTTAATTCGATCCTTCTTATTTTTCATAGGATCTTCTACGTACTCCATGTTCATGGCCTTTTGCATGAAGAGATATAATCAAGCTCTCGTTTTACTAAAAACTGTCCCAAAACAAGAAATCATCATCCTCCTCCGGTGCTCAGTCAAATTTTATACTTTTGCGTGTGCATCGTCTTTCTCTGTTAATCTGCATTTCTTTAGATTTTGTTCATATGGAAGATGATCCTTTACCGTATGTAAGTCCCAGAAACTGAGTGCCGCCACCAAAACTCCTTTTTCCTTCTCTAGACGAATCATTATCGTCGTCGCTTAACAAGCTGATAAAACCTATAGCACCTGCATGGGGAAGAATCAGTCCCCAGAGGTGCAAAACAGCACAGGCAATGGCTGTTTTGATGGGTGCCATTAACAACCCTTCAATCCCCATGCCTAAATTCGGCTCCTAAAAGATCGTAAGACAAGCATTTATCCTCTTAGTATTGTACTTGTCGTTGGGTGTGGTTATATATTAGTTTAATCATCATGATTTCGTTGGTCCTAAGACTCACCCTGTTGTTGATGCATTGTATTTCTGCATCGACACGATGTGCACAATCGGTTTCGGCGACATTACCCCTAATAACACGGCTACAAAATTGTTCTCGATCTTGTTCATGTTGATCGGTTTCAGATTCATAGATATTTTGGTTAGTGGGATGCTTGGTTATGTGCTTGATTTGCAGGAGGAATATCCGTTGAAACTGTGATGGTAATAAAAGGGATTTTGCAACATGTTATGTCATTCATGTTCAAAAGAGGAGAATGAAAGGATAAGGTTGAAGGTTAGATTAACATTGGGTGTTGTGATTTTTTGTATTGGTATTGGCCTTGGTGTTATGCATTATGTTACGGCTGTCGGGTACGGCGATAGGGCGTTTAAGACCTTGCCTGCTCGGATCTTCGCTTCCATTTGGTTGCTCGTTTCGATCGAATTTCAATAACCATCTTCACCTTTTATTACCCTTTTCATGACATTTATATTCAGTACGATAATGTCCCGAGTGGTACCTCTCTGAGGCCTAGAAAAGACTACAGAATTGTGTTCTCTTACATATGAAGGCCATTCAGATACATTGATACGGTTTCAACATCTGCTCTCTGCAGTACGATAATGTCCCGAATAGTATCTTTCCGGGACCTAGAGGCAAGAACAGATTACAGAACCGTGTTTTTTCCCCTTACATATCAGTTTGATTATACGGTTTATTGAGGTGTTTGCAGTTGTAAGATTCTATTATGTTCCAGATTATCTTTCTCGATGCTCACCGGATACGAAACCCGATCTATTTCGCATCATATGTACTTATGATTCGCATGATTTAACAATGGTTGAACTTCCTAACTTAATCTCGAATTCCATTTTCATGTTCATCGTTAATTTGTTATCGAATATAATATCGATTTACATATGCTGCAAATCCGAGTTTCACATATACAAGCTCAAGGAATTAGGGAAGGTATCAGAAAAAGACATTATGCAGATCTCTGAGAAATTCGACAGGCTCGATTCCGGCAAGTGCGGAAGGATAAGCCTTGTCGATGTTAAGGACACTCGTCATTGTTGGATATACGAACTGCAAAACTACACCGTTAGCACTGACTGGAAATATAAACAGTAATTAAAAGGAACAGATTCGTTAACCGTGTCGTGGTATAACCACTGCTTTAGAAACGAATTCGCCCCGATGTGTGTAATCGCTGCAGTAGGCGGACCGTCCCCCAAGGTTAACACGGTCGCTCCGAATTTCGTACACCCGAAATCGGAGTGGACTGTCAGTGGTATTACTCTTCTTATCGGAAAACACAGAAAAAATAATTGCAGAAAACACTTTGAGAGTGTATTGTGAATGTTGAGAGTGAGTTGAGAAGCTGAATATATCCCTCTATTTATAGGCTAGAAATAGGGTTAAAATCGTCCATAAAATTTCAGGATTAAATCTCTTCTTTTGTAACAGCTGAAACTTCTAGATGAACCTGACTCAAAAATAGTCCAGGTTCATTGCATCATTGTTCAGCTGTTATAACTCCCGAAATTATATCATGTAACCCATAAAATTAAATCAAATAACTCCTGTTATTAACAGCTTGTCTCCTCTATACAAAGATGGAAATCAGTCCAGATACATCTTAACGTTTTTTATTTAATTTAGGAAAAGTTGTTTAATTTCTGATAACTCTCATAAATCAGCTGTTATCATTTGAAATTAAACAGTCCTCAACAGCCTATAAATATCAGTTGAAATCTTTCACATTTTTCCATTTGTTTCTTTCAAAGAGAAATTCCTCAAGAATTTTTTCTAAAAAGATAGTATCCGCGCGGACGCGACCACGACCCGAGCCGAGCCGAGCCGAGCCGAGACGAGACGGACGGCGGTGGCGGCGGTGCGCGAGAGTCCCCCTTGTTCTCTTTCACTCAACAAGGAAGTGGGAATTCCATACTATAAATACCCATTCTCAATAGTGTTTCCAATATTATGTGTTATTGAGCATTACCAACATTCCCCCACTAATGCGAAAGAATTCTTCTAAAACTCGAAAACAAACTTTCCAGAAGAGCAATAGCAAGATTAGTTGCTTAAGCACTAGTGAACGTAACTGGAACTAGTACATAGTGATGATGAACAATCCTTCTCTTAGATAAGTGAAACTAGTCTGGAACTTTTTAAGATGGGGGTAAACTCATAACACACAACTAACCCCTTCATCCACCTGAGTCTTCGATGTGTAAGATATATATATACAAAAGTATATATTTGGCCATCTTACCTCAGGATTCTAGTAAGTGTGCTAGAAAAATGGCCCAACATTTTTCATAGAAGGCGGCTAACCCTTCTCACTTACATAGGTTATTTCATCAAGTTTATCTCAACATAAATCACCCTTAAAAGGGATATGAAATAATTAAGAGCTTTTATAATAGCTCAACCTCACAAAGGGTGTGGTGACTTTCTTCAAGTTCATTATAAATGAACCACCCAAACTCTGGGCTAAGAAGTCATTTAGAATAAATATTCAACCTCATTTATCGGTAAATTCAATAAGTCCTTCTCACTAGAACCATCCAAATACTTGGGTTTGAATTTATTAAGAGTTTAACAAACTCAACCTTTCTGTCGGTAAGTTCATCATTTCCTACCCACTCACTCTGGGTTATGAACTTATTAAGAATAGATATTCAGCCAAAATCGGCAAATTCATCAAGTCTTTCTCACTAAGACCACCCAAAGTCTGGGCTATGAATTTATTAAGAGCACTTAAGCTCATCCTGGGCATGCACATTATTCGTCATAGGGATAGGCAGTAGGAATGTGCACTATGAGTCTTTCCATGGTTTTGTTTGACCATATGGAACTTAGATAACTAAGTTGGGTATCCACCATGAATTCCTCAACCAATGGGCTAAGACCCATCCCCCTCGACGAATCTAGGACCAGCTTTCGACTTAACCCTTTGGTAAGTGGATCTGCTAGATTCCTTTCCGACTTCACATACTCTAAAGAGAACACTCCATTCTTTATTAAGTGTCTAACAGATTCATGTCTTATACGAATGTGTCTTTTCTTACCATTGTAAGCTTGGTTCTTAGCCACACATATCGCAGCTTGTGAATCACACAATAATGAAACCGGAGGAGTCGGTTTTCCCCACAACGGATATCTGCTAACAAGCTTCTGAGCCACTCGGCTTCTTTCCCAGCTAGGTCAAGAGCTATAAACTTTGACTCCATGGTAGAACGAGCAATACAAGTCTGCTTTGATAATTTCCATGAGATTGCTGCTCCACCCAAAGTAAAAACATACCCGCTCGTAGAGCTTACCTCATCATTATCAGAAACCCAGTTGGCATCACAATATCCTTCTAGTACCGCAGGAAACCCAACGAACTCAAGTTTCCAATCCAAAGTACCCTTAAGATACTTCAGTAAGCGTTTAAGAGCAATCCAGTGTTCACCACTCGGATTATGAGTATATCTACTCAGTCTACTCACAGCATAAGCAATATCAGGCCGAGTATAGTTCATTAAGAACATTAAGCTTCCGATTAATTTAGCATATTCAGTTTGGGAAACGCTACTTCCTTTATTCTTAACAAGATGTATGCTAGGGTCATAAGGAGTTCGAACAGGGACGACATCAAAACTGTCAAATTTCTTTAGCACTTTCTCTATATAATGTGCTTGACTTAAAGAAAATCCCTTTTCAGTTTTGGTAACTCTGACTCCTAAGATTACATCAA